CTCTCTTTCTATGAGTTTAGCAGATCACAATCTATTTTATTGTAAAATTATTAGAGCCCAATCTCATTTTCCTTCACTATTTGCTTTCGGTCTTTAGGTTTCCTTCTTTATTCGCAAAGAACATATATTTGAGATGAAAACACGATTGAGTTGAAGTTCCTTTTTACTTAATTTCCACACAATCCTAAGGTTCATGCTTTATGAATAAGTATATAAAATTTCTATTACTTTTCACCTTAACCAAGCATTGTTTTGGTGCTACAATTAGATGGTGCTAAAATATATTCTAATTAATTAATAATATATTTTTTTAATAATCACACTGTATCAAAATTAAACTACAAAAAAATAGGAGCTCGCTACATTGGTAATTAATCTTTTTGATCTCATTGAATGAAACACGTATTGAGTCTCCCCAAATATAGAAAACTTGGGCGGTGTCGCACAAAATACGGTGTACCACCGACAAGTGTCAATTTGAATGTATTTTAAAATCACGTACTCATTTTTTCGTCAGTACTATAAATGGACTTGTACCTAATTTATCTGTTTGTAAATTTGTCATTATGTTATCTACAATTCGTCAAACTTGGTCCATATGAGAATGTGTGGTATGCATAATTTTTGGATAATTGCAAAGGAATTGACCGAAAAGAAATCCATCCGACCAATCGATTCCAATAAATTTGCACTGCGGAAAGTTCATCTTCTGATTGCAGAATGAAAACGTAATAACTAGCATTCTCTTGATTACCCATGCCTTGAGGATATTGATGTTTTGAGTGACTGTGAGAATGTGTACTCAAACATGATCCATATATCATCGCCAGTTGTTCACTTTTCTCTAATTGTTGTTGGTAGAGAATAACTTAACTTCAGCTAAAAAGCAATGCAGATTACATATTAATCAATTAATACACTTTATACTACCCGCTATTCACGGCGGCTACGTGAAAGATCTTGAGCCCCTCCTTAATAAAATCAACCACACTTACGCGCCGAAACGTTGACCAACCTGTTCGATATGGACAATAACACATTTGGTAGATATAATAAGGATTCGTGTTTTTATTTTGCGGGAATGATAATTTGTTAAGATATGTGTTTGATATTTTTGTGAAACAGGATCGAGATGTAATACGATAATTCATGTTTTAGCTTTAATTTCTCAAAATATAATTTTTTTGGGTTCATTTTTATTGAACCTTTTTCGGAAGTTTATGATATCAATCTCCATTTTCATAGGATGTCCTGCATAGAGCATTTAACTCTTGTTTTTACCGTGGAACCTTCATTTATTTTAAGTAAATATTTTCTTCCTTGGTAATACTGCGTTCGACATGCATTCGATTCGAGACTTGCCTTCAAATTCAGTTTCATTTACTGCACTTGAAATAAGTTAAACGGTATTTATAATGTATAAAAATGTTAAGAAATATTAAGTATATTCTATTACACGCTTTAAGTTATCATAAAAAATATATTACATTTTTTTATATTATAATTTCAAAATAATAGTTTTTATTTTAAACTTTTTAATATATAACTCTAAAATAAATAATCAATAATATATAAACATGTATTTAATATAATTAGAATTACTAGTGCTAAAATAAATCACTAATCTGAATCCGCTATCTAATTATGACTATGATAACTTTTTTCTAGCAAGAAAATTCCGTTACACGGTGGACAAACACAATATCTAACAAGCTCTTAGTCGCTACACCACTTTTAATTGGTAATTACAACTAAAATGGTAGAAACAAACACATAATAAGGGACAACATATTTAAGTATACTAATACATTATAAGGAGGAAAAAAAAAAGGTTGCCGCACAAAATTTTATTTTATTTTATTTATTGCTTTTTTCTTATGATTTTGCAATTTGAAGATAAGATTAAAGACTTTGTTGAGTGTAAGTTTAATTTTTTTAGATAATTAAGAGAGAGAATGGTATTTTACGTTAAAGAAAAAATAGTTTAAAAAATGTTTATATATAACTTATATTTATCTCATTCAAAAATATATATAAATTCAATCAATGAATATAATTTGGTGTGTTAATTGTTTTCTATATTACTGTTAATAAATTAAACTCTTATAATTTCACCTTTTTTTTAACATTTATTTATTTTTATCACATTATTTATCTTACTTTCTCTTTATTTCTTATATTTTTTTAAAAATTTATCATTTTCTTCTTTTCAATCATTTCACACTAAAAAATTAGATGTGAAATGAAAAGTTTTGTTATGAGTTTGGTCAAATTAATGAATATTTTTTAGTTAAAATATTTGTTGTGAGAATTGAATTATTTTGTTGACTTGATTAATACTAAAATTAATATTTTTTTGTGCTCACAAATTTTTTTTAAAAATTAAAAATTTAAAAATATCTATTACATTAAAAATATAAAATATTATAAATACCTTGTTTTTAATGAAAATCAATACTCTTAAATACTTAAACTTAACTCTAAGCATTAAAATAAACAAAATCAATAAACTAAACCATCAATTATTTAGTCGTACATTTCAAAACGTTTGTGGAAATGAACTATTACAATGGTGAACCGGTTAGAAACTGATTAATCAAACCGTGGCCCACAATTCGAACCGATTTTGAATGTTTCCTTTCTCATTTAAATAAACGAGAATGACAACATGAAATTTTTTTTCCATCTTTTATCTCTATAAATTTTTATAATTAATTAATAAAGATATTTTTTTAGATAATAAATATATATTTTCATTTAATACTTTAAAAATAATAAAATGACTATTAAAAATACAACAAATATATTTTATTATTATGTTATCATTCACCAAATATAAATACATATTTGACCAACCCACCAGTTAACTGGTGTCTCATAATATTTTGTTTATGATAAAAAAATTATGTCTTGTTTATAAAGTTAAATTTAGAGTTTTGTTATTTATTTTAGAATTTAACTAAAATATATTGATAATACACAATATTTATATTTAACTTTTGATTATTGTATAAATAAAGAATATTAATTTTTAAATTAGTTAATTTAAAAAATACATTTATTCTATTTGATTAATAATATACTTTTTTTATATGAATAATGTACCGAAATGTGTCCCGATTTTAATAATTAAAGATGAAACACGTATTTTTATGTTATCAAATTATATGTTTTTGTTGGCAAATCAAACACACTCTTATCTATTCCTTTCTAACTTGTAAGAAATAAATATTAAATATGTTTTCTATGTTAGAAATAATCGTTCTTTATATATTTTCATTTTTGTACATCAAACTGAGAAAACCGTACTAATGCAGAATAAGGATATTTTTTATGTTTTGCAGGTGACAAGTTGGGGAGCTAAGATATTGGATATTACATAATCAGTTATTCTTGAATCAATTCTCGTCAAAATATAAGCAGACAGTGGCAGATTTTGACCAAACTTTTGAGAGAGTAAAAAAAAGTTAATATATTTGTATGTATGTATTATAATTAATTTTATAGAAAGAGCTACACAGGAAAATTATATATATCAAATAAGAAAAAAAAATCCGCTATGACTTGAGAGACCGGAGTAATTAGGCTTGAATATGATATCATTAAATTATTAAAACATTCTTAAGTATATAAAATCAAACATAACATTAGCTTTGCTATTTTGTTTTAATTAAAAAATTGTTTTTTTTTAATTTTTTAAAATTAATTACTGTAAATTAAACTATTTAATTTTTTTATTTTCTGACAAATATCTATAAATACCTAGGAATAACTATAAATTCATTTAAAAGTTGTTGAAGAATATCGTGCAAGTGTGGGGCAGGTACATGGCATATAAACCTGCGGTGTTAAGTAGTGGGTACCAGGATGCATTGCCCCACTGGGTACCCTTAATTTTATCTTTATGTTCCGTACATGAAATTAATATAAATTATAATTTAATCAATGAAAGTAAATACCAAATCATTATTCTGTGATTTATAAGTATTGAAGTAAAAATGTAACCATCATTTGTGTGGAATAAAGACTTTTGGCAGCGCCCAGCATTTTATTGCACATAATTATTTTTCTTACGTTTCGACAACAACATGATTCGGTTCTAAGGCTTAAATCTAGTCACTGTTCTAGTTTGAGGAGGCCAGTTCATCGTTTCAATGTATTAAATATAAAAGCATAAAATGATATCAAGTTTTATCTTTGGAGTTCAATTTTTATTATTATAAAAATTAACAATTTTTGTTAATATAACAACTTATAATTAAACTGCATTCTAAATTCGTTTTCTTTTCATATATCTGAATTCTGTAAGTCAAATAAATATTGAAATAAGAATGAACACTCTATTTCTATTTCATTGTGGTTTCTATCTCAAACAGCAATAGAAAAAGTAAATTTGCATCGCCAAAAACGTTGTTAACTGTGGTCTGTTCTTCAGTTCCAAGGAATACTTCTGGAAAATTCCCTCACAATAATTATTCTTACAGTGACTTTATGGCAATTATTCGTCAAAATCTTGAATGTTTTGGGTGCAATTAAAATATTAAATTCGTCTCAATAGAAAAATTAATTTTTTTTATAATGTTATAAATAATAGTTGTTTTCAGAAAATGACAATAAAACTGCAAATGAATATAAAATAGGAAAGAATAATAAGATAGAAAATGCTAACATCACCTCTTAAAGTCAATTTTAAACACCTATCAGAAACAAAAATTCAATACATTATATTTTTAATGTAATTAAACTTTCTTTATATTTTTAATAAAAAGTTAATATTTTTAGAAGCTTAAAAAATCTATCATAAAACTGACGTCAAAAGAACCCTAAAAAGAAAGGATAGCAAAACAGAAACCGCAACATTTTTGTTTCCTTCAATATTTTAAATTCTTTTAAAATATCTCATCTGATAATAAAGAAATAGTAATTGGCCAGTAGATTTCATGATTCCATTCGTGCTAAGAAATTTCTTCCCATGAAGATACACATGCAAAAACATTATAAACGTGTTATTATTATTATTATTATTATTATTTATGTTGAAAAAAATAATCATTTCTTCTGTTTTCTGAAACCCCACATTCCTAGTTCTCTCTTCACTTTCCCATTCTCTTCACATGCTACAAGAGAACACACGAGTGGGATGAGTTATAGAGCTACAAAATGTACTCTGCCTGTGTTATCTGCGTATGTATGCTTTTCCGTACAATTTACACCACCTTCTTCATATTCAAGAACATGACAAAATCACGGGGCTTAATGCCATGTAATAAAATCCTAACAAAATCTCAGGCTAAGGCCTATGCTGGAAACTGGGAAATCTAAGTTAAGTGTTACTGTGCTTAATGCTAACTAAAATCCTTCTTGAATAGGAGAAAAAAAAGAGCATTTATTATTGCGTTCTTAAGCAACCTCCAGGAAGAAGGAACTTAAATTTATCTGCATTCTCTATCAAATAAGCTGGAAGATGGACTGCAGACGCTGAACGGGGTATTGACCCCATTTTTTTAATCAACTCCTGGAAAGAGTATTCTTCAGGGAGCATATCATAAAGATCATCTCCCTTGCAAATAATATTTTGAATTCTTGAATGACTTAGAAAAGATTTACGTTTCACACGGTCTGCATGGCTATAGGCTGTCATTTTGAACACAAATTCTGAAAGATTCCGAAAGCAAAAGCTGCAGTGCCACCCTGCATCTGACAAGATTAAATTTGTCTGCCGTGAGTGCCGGTAGGTTGTCCGGGGACCATAGATGTGGGCTGTGGCTCGCCAGCTGCTGTAGTCCACAGGGAACTCAAATGAGTACATGTAGTGCCTCAGTTCAAGATGCATTATGGGAGGAATCCCATCACACCATTGCAGCAGTTTCAAAGTTTGAAGGCTTGGAATTTCATCTGTATCTGACATGAGAAGAATGTCACCATTGGAAATCCCTGCGCGGTGTAACAGAGAGTTCATAGCCCCGCGTTGGTTTGACTCAAGCACAAATGGGTCCTCGTGTGATCCAGGGACTGCAACTTTGCCAGGATAAATTTCATGGGCAATCTTTTGTTCGGCAAAGGTAAATCTTGCCTGGTTTAAGGAAAATAAGAGAGGTTTTGGAATGCCTGTAAATGTGGTATTGGACTCTAGGATCACAAATTTTGACACGTAAGGATAAAGTTCGTGCCATCTAATATCTAGCATGTCTAACTCGTTGCTGAAGATAATGGCATCAAAGATGCGACGAGGTTGGAAGCGAAGGGACCAGCCATGGAGACGACAAAGGTGGTCCATGGAGACATTTTCTGCATAATAGTGAGGTATCCTCATGAAGGGAGTAGGGGGATTGTCCCAAAGGGGTCTGAAGAAATAGGAAATCTTTTGGCCATGGATAAAAATTCCAATCACACAAATTGGCACCAGTAATAGAAGTAAGACACAGAGGAACATGGGAAGTTTTCGTCTAGAACTAAGGCGTGGTCTAGCCATGGCTTGAGGGCGAAATATTCAATATTCTATTTGACTTCCCCAGTTCAATTATCAGATTCAGAAAAAATATCATGGTCACCTGCAGCAGTTTTCAACAAAAGGGATTAGAAACAACAATAAAAAGCGAACATATTCTATGAAAATTTTTTCTCACAACTAATGAATACTAAATTAAGGCAAAATGCAGTATAAGTTCCCATAAAAAAATATGAGAACATCAAAAAAACTTTAATAAGGAAAGTGAATTTCTTTAGCATGGACCTGGTACATAGAAAAACATCACAAAGCTACTAATTGCTTGTCAACAAGGGATTTTGAGAACTAGATATTGTAGTTTATAACAGGACATACCAATATTTCCAAGCAGTCAACCATATTTATGGTTATTAAGTAGTCTCACACTGAACCTCTTTCAACAGACAGTAAGAAAATATGAACAAATGATACTTTCTTAAGAAGAAAAGTGCAGACATTTGTCATAAAAATAAATCAATCTCAACATGGATACGAACTAGTTTCTGACTTTTAGAAAACATAGTACGTGAATGGGACATTTAGCGAGGGAGTTTTGATAACTAAGAGGTCATAATTGAAACATATAATAAAACCAATTACTTCTAAACCTTCCACCTATAATCAACCTCTCGAAGGGAATTCAGGGACAAGAATGAACTAGAGTACAGCTAAAGCTTTGAATACCCTGGTATGTTCATAAACCTACCATGATACATGGCATTAATTATAATCAGAGTCGAACGGAGGAAGATATTGTAAAATCAATTAATTATGACAGTTAACACTGATGAAATAATTTGAGAACAATTGAGTAAAAGGCTTACCTACCAATAGATGTGAAAAACAACTACTCCAACAGAACATGACAAAATCTTTGATAACTTGATGAACTTTATCAATATGATACGAGGAAACAATATAAGTCCCAACAGTCAAATGTCATTTCTTTTAAAAGACATAGTCTCCATCAACTAAAATAGGCTTTATGAAGGAAGGGAATCGGAAATTTTCAATCAAGTTTCTAAAACCGAGCACAGAATATCAAAAGGAATCATTCGAATCCCCCAACCCACAAAAAGATAAATGAATCATTCACCCTTCTCAGAACCCTCATTAAAAAAACCACTTTATTTTGCCAACGCCCAAACCTCAAAGTTTCAGGAAAAAAAAAAGAGAAATAAAATAATAAATTTGCCTCTCAGAATCGTGAAGAGGGCTTTTTGCCGTACACCACAATGAAACACTTCCACTAATTGCAAACCGACAATAAGAGAGAAAAAAAAGGAGCCAGCTAACAATTAAATGATACATGGAAGAAAAAGGGAAAAGAAGAAGAGGAATAGTAAGGGTACCTTAGAGGAGTGGAAGAGATTGGGCCAGTCACCGGAAGTCCATGACGAAAATCCATTGAAAACCCGGAAAGAGCGAAAGAAGGTGAGAGGATAAGAGAGAAAATAGGTGTTAAATATTGGTCTTAATTAATGTGCTATCCTAGGTAGGACAGTGCGGTGTTCTGTTCAACTTGGACTTTGGATGGAAATAGCTAAAGAGGGAAGGAGGAACAAGGAAAGGTCAATATTACGATTTACCAACACAATGACGACAACATTAACGTTAATGAGATTAACACGATGATGTTCTCTAGTTATTGCTACACGACAGCAACACCCCAATACCAATACCAAGACACCAACACCTTCACTTGCCCACTTAAACAGTTCCAGGTTTCAAAGCTGTGGTGGGTGACGTGGCCCTCTTCGTGTTTTCTTCTCTCTCTCTCTCTCTTTTTTTTTAAGTTATATTTATAAAGTGTGGACTGGTTGGCGGTGGCAGAAGGATCTGAATGAGTTAGATTTGGAACTTGTTATGTTAGTTGCCTCCTTTTGCGCCCTGCCACTCTTATCATCTCTCTGTGATGATGAATAGCAAAGCGATGAATTCGGAGGGTTTCTAATATGTTTTTAGTCGATAAAGTTTTCATTTAATAAGTTCACTGTGTTTTATTTTATGTGATGATGCGGATATTTCAAGGTCTGAAATAAATAATATTCCCATTCCCTGGATCGTGCTGCATTTGAATATTAATTGATTTGATACTATCACTGTGTGGAGAACGATGATAATTTATAGGGAAGTTGCTTAACTTATGACCGACAAATTGTCTCGTTAATTGTCCTCGCACATTGTTCTCTACATGAGGTACCTTGCACTTAATCTTTGTGTTAAGTTTATTAAGGCGTGGAATTCTAATTTTTAGAATAAATTTAAAATAGAATTTAACCTTACACGGCAATGTTCGGAAACAGTTTTGGCTCGGTGACTAGGATCAGAAATATAATTCTAAGTATATGTATATAAGATAACACGGGCTTATGTTATTAGGTTATCTTATCTTACTTGTGTTATTAACTTATCTTATCGGGCCTGAAAAAATAACAATCTTATCCGACTTATGTTATTCAGTTATGTCATCCTGCTTGGTAATTCAAATTTTATCTTAAAGAGACAGCTTAGGAGATTCGGAACAAAACTTTTAAGAGAATAATCACATCTTAAAAAAATTGATAAAAATAACTTATTTTTAAAATGTTTTTGAAAATATGTAACCCATGGATTTTTTTTTCCGCATCTTGCATCCGCTTTATGGGTAAAAATAGTTAGAAAAAGATAAATTAATGAATAACTTTAATAAATAACATGATAAAAAAATGAAAAAAAAAACTGTATAATAAATACAAAAATCACAAATATTTCTTACCTGCTCATTAAGATAGCTTTTAGAAAATTATCTTAATTAAATATTTACTTATAAACTATTGTCAAAATATATTTTTTATTTCAATAAACATTTTTTATGTAGACTAATTTGTAAACTCAAATATATTTTTTTTTATTCAATTAAATTCAAATCTGATCTGGATCACATACCTAAATATAACTGGTGAGACTATCATTGTATAAAGACTTAATCTAAAAACTTAATTAAATAATTCCGAGCTGTTTATCATTTATACTAATAATTTTTCAAATATCCTTTAAATATCTCTCTACTATTCTTCTAAACTTTACTTTATGCAGCATGATAAGATGGTCTAGTCACAAGCGCAACTAGTAAAATATGTGTCTAATAATAAATTAATTGTCTGGATTATTCTTTTAGAAACAATTAATTCGACTAAAATTTAAAATTTGTTTAATATGTGTGGAAGGAAAAGAAAAGCGAACATTATGAGTATGTTTAATTTCTTTTTTGAAATTATTTTTTTATTTTAAAAATATAATATAATTAAATTTATATTATATTTTCTTATAAAAAATAGAAAAATGTTTTAAAAAAACAAAATACTCTAAATAATTATTGTTCGCTTGTCTATTATACAAAGCAGGAAACTTTTTTATTTGATTAAAAAAAATAGTAAGTACTGTCATTGCTGGAAAGTTTCTTTAATCTAATTAAAAACATAGTCTCTCTCAATCATGTTTACAAATAATAATACTTTTGACTTTTAAATACATTTTTTAAAAATGAAACACACTTCTTGACTTGATTTTATAAACGTTTTAATTAAATTTTTTAAAAATATTTTTTAATCATATAAATAAATATTTAATTTCTCTTTATGACGTGAAAGATTCATACTGACACTAGTATTTTCTATTATTGTTGTTATTATAATATCTTTGTTATTGTTTCACTTCTATTTTTACAATTGTTATTATTATTAGAGTTATCGTGGTTATCGTCACATTCAGTTAATACTAAGTGTTATTAATAATATGATGGTTGCTGTCTTATAACTAATGTAATAATAATAATTATTATTATTATCATGTCATGGTTAATGACATAAAAAAATTATTAATTATTATTACCAATATCATTGTCATTGTTGCTTTTATTAGTCAATTATTATTATTATTATTATTAGTTGTAATTACAACTTCTTTATTAATAGGCATGGTTTAGATTTAAAAAAAATATATAAAAATTATTAATTAAAAACAAAACCAACAAACAAGTTAACTTTTTACTCATTTTTAATATAAAAATATTCAAATTCATTAGTTTTTCTCCTGATTTTGCTTTCGTCCATGTTTCTTCTTATTATAAAAAAATATTTGTTTCTTTGAACTCAAACAAAATTCCATACCGATCCCAATATTTTTGTATTCATCCAACGCTTAAAAGCCATATTTTCGGAGATATATTTTTTTATTGTTACTTTTGATATTTATTTTTTAAAAAACTTGTATACATACATATATATATATATATATATATTTGAAGCTAAGCTTTACAACTAATTTATAATTTAATTTTCATGATTAATCTTATACTTTTAAAAATTAAAATTTAAAAATCATTTAGAAATTAGCTTTAAAACAGTATAAATAATTAAATTATGAAATTTATTCCTACATTAGTTTTAATTTTTATAAGACATTGAATATACTTTAAAAAAGTGGAGTCACAACAAAATAAATAGTATGTAAAACAAAAATAATGGCGCAGCTCCCAATCTCAATAGCAAAACCCACCATCTCAGTTATCTTAATTGGGCCCATTAACGACGTAAGGTCCAGCAGAGGCCGAGGGAATGAAAGGAGTATCATTGGATACATTCAGGTTCAGGCTCGTTAAGAGATTAGCTTAAAAAAAAAGAAAAAAGAAATAGTCCCTGCGCACTTATACGACTATGTGAAAAAAAAAAACACAAGAAAAAAGTGCTTAAAAAAATATATGATATTGTTTTGCAACAAGATTACAAGTTTGTTACCGAGTGGGAAAAATTTTCATGTGATAACAACACGTAACACAAATTTTGTGAAAGCAGATAAGAGTAACTCGATATGGGCATGACTAACATTTAAAGTTCCTAGAAATGAACATGAATATTTGACATTCGGCCTCATTTTTATTAAAGTTGGAAAAATTATTAACAATTCACTTTAATTTCACGTTTCTCTCTTTCTCGTTCACTAATATTTCATATATATTTTTATCAAAAGTATTTAGTTCATTACATTATAAAAGATGATAAATATTTTTTTAATAAAAATGTATTATTATTAATTATTTAAACTAAATCTTAAAGAAAATATTAATATGATTTGATTTAAATAAATCACGACAAAATTTTAAATAAAAGACAAAAGATGCGAGAAACTACAATATTTAATAACTATCATTGTTAACAAAACTTGATTAGTTAGCAATACCTTAAATACATTTTGAATTATTTTTCCAAATAATATAACAAAATTAAAAGAATGAGAATGAATATAAATGTAGATGCGTGCTGGTCATAAACTTGACTATATATTTATATTATTTATATTGTGTTAACAAAACATTAATTATATGTTTCATACACAAACTACGCGCTGGATATAGATACAGTTGACCAAAAAAAAAAAAGAGTCATCCTGAGCCAACAAAGTTAACAACGCTGAAGATTTCATTGCCTCTTATCGGATCCTCTTCAGCAATTTGAGCCGTCGTGCACACTGAACGAAACTTCTGCAAAACAGAAGCCAAGTGTACTATTAGTTGTTGGAATATATGTTATTCATTATTGTTAAGGTTTGCTAATGATCTTATTTCAAAATAATTTTTTTATTAAAAATAATAATGTTTCACGTTATTGATATATTACTATCATAACTTTAAATAAAAACATTTGATGTACTAATTCCTTATTAGTTACTGGGAATAAGTTGAATAAATAACCAATTGAAAGGGTTGGAGAATTAGAATAGTGATAAGCTAGGATGCACTTGCCTCCATGGTACATCTTCTGCAAGAAGCCAATCACCCTCTTTATCCTGATAAGCCAGTTCATAGCCGCCTGATGGCTGATGACCTGTGTATTCCAAACCAAAATAAAAAATGAGTTAATCCCATAGTTCAATTAATTAGTAACGCCCTTAATTTAGAATTAGGCAATTAAAAATGGCATATATAAATTACACCTACATTTGCCAAACATGTCCATCAAAGTTTCCTTGAGCGTTTGAAACGATTGGTGCATGCTAAGATCAATCTTTCGCGCAATCCCTACACCCTCCATCTTCACTTTCACGTACAGAGTATGGGATCCTCTGAGGGCAACAGAACCACGTCCATGTCCATGTCCATTTTGATGATGATCAATCCAGACCGTGTGATCATTCCCTGCAACCTCTTCCCCATAGTTATCAAAACGAAGTTTCTTCCTCCAAAAATTTACTGGCGGCCAACCCACTAAAGCTTCTACATCCTCCTCATCGTCCCTACACAATAACAAGCGAAACACTTGAGTTTTTGAACGACAACACGGGATATATTAGCATGAAGAAATGAAGTGTTGCAGTACTTGGTGTGGATGGGGTGTTGATGATCGTGGTTTGAGCGGGAAGGAGTTAAAGGGAGAAGAGACAGAGTAGGAAGCATAACATGGGTGGGGGTGTGAGTAGTTTCAGGTGCGTGCTCCGAGAGCTGAGAAAAGGTACGTTTTTTGTGGTTAAAAGGGTCGTAGGTACGAGAATTGAGGTCGAGGAGTTTGGAGGGAATGGTTGGGAGGGCGAGGCCAAGTTGAAGCTCCATCCATGCAAATTGCAATGCAAAGTGGAAAGTTAAGTGAGTATTGAAGAGGTGAAGAAATATATATATTAATTGGAGAGACAGAGTAAGTGCTGGGGATGGGAATAGGAGAGAGACAAGGTGTTGGGAAGAAGGGTAAAGGTGTCCTTATCAATGCTTCCCCTTTTGCCGACCCAGTTGCCTCCTTGTTTACTTGTTCATTGTTTTCTCAAGCTTCCCCATTTCCACTAATCCACGCGCATTTACTTCACACTCTTATCTTCCCTATGTTCTTTCCTCATTATTATTATTCACCCTCATTCTCCCTACCTTCTTATTACTCTCTCTTTTTACAAAATAAATGTATATGTTAATACTTTTATTTAGATGTGATCCCAAGTCAAGCATATAGTCAAACAGTTATAATCATCATTCATCGTCATCTGTCCAAGCCGTGGCAGCCAAACCACAGATATTCTATGCAATCTCTGGTAATCTTTAATCTAGATTAATACTCATTTTCAAATGACTTTATTGTTGTAAAATTCTAAAAACACTCATTCTTTGTGAATATACTTATAAAATAACATTTTTCTTCGAAATTTTTATAACTCATGTATGCATTCGACTATATTTTACTCTAACTCTATGAGTAATTTTTTCTATCTTGTGTTTTTCTGTGTGCTAATATCAATTAAAAGATGGGAAAAAAAAATAATTTGTACAAAATTTATAATAAAATTATGCAATGGACATGGAAAGATATCCCTATTTAAAAATTAATTGTTAGAGTACACGTGTGTTTTTAAATTCTTGATGATATTTTTAAAACACTAATTTAAAATATATTAGATAAATTTACTTAAATGGAAAACTGACTTGAAACCTATTTTCTCTATTTATTGGACTAATCTTAATATTATCTTTTAAAAAATTAAATGCTTTAATATTCAAATTAACAAATATTAAAAGTCAGTAAGAAATTTTGGTTAATGGGGTAATAGATACTACGATGCATGAGAAGGATTAAAAACACGTTATTTTTAATATATTTTGAATTAATTGTTAAACTTTATTAAAAATATAGAAAATTTAAATTTAAAGTGATAAAATGATATTATTTATATGTTTTTTTAAAACAAATTTTAGTTTATAATTCAGTGAGTTAAAAATAACATATTAAATGATATATTATTAACCTTTATCTTTCATTTATACGGTAAATCTATATTAATCTTTACAATAAATTAATCCCTTTTCTTATAAAGAGATCAACATAATTTTTTAATATAATCTAACTTTATTAAATTTTAATATGAAATAATTTTCACTTTTAATTTATAATAGATATAAAGCAATGTTAGCAATATATTACTTTATTATACTGAATGAAATTTAGGAGTAAACGATATGAATTTGTTTATTATTTAACAAACTTCTGATGAAAGTCCTTTGTCAATAAAGTATATTAAAGATAAAATATTAACCTTAACTTATAAGTTAAATTTAAGTAATTAATAATAATATTTTATTCATATTTAATATTATTTGAATATTTTTTATTTATTTTGAATTATTTATCATTTTAAATTAATAAGAGGTGCTAATTATTTTTTTCATTAAGAGTAATTCTTAGCGAGGGGTTAACAAAACAGATCAATCCTGCAAAATTAGTTGTAGAAAATCTATTAAATGAAAGTTTTATAACAACATGATTTTAATATGTTTTTAATTACATACGAAGAGAATTTACTAAAATATAAATTTTTTATTAATTATAATTTTAAATAAAAAACACTGCATATATTTTTTATTGTGTCATTATGCACATATTAAACTGTTATTATAGTAAATAGTAAAAATTTATTTATTTTTCATCTCATGTATCATTTAATACTATTTTATATATATTAAGAAAATTATTAATTATATCAATTATTATGGTAAAATAAAATAATTTTATTAAAATACTCTTTTAAAAGTGTTAATGTTATTGGACTATTTAGTTGATAAAAAATGGTCTTAAAGTAATAATAGAGTTATTATAATAGTTAATTGGCAAAAACTATTCTTTATTTATAAAGACATTATTAAAATAAAATAATTATTTTTATATTTAAAAATAATAAAAAAATGCTAACAACCTCTAATATGAAAAAAACAACTGGGAATTAATTAACGAAATGGTTGAAGGATATTAATTAATATTCGTTGAACAGAAACTGACCGCGAGTGGATGAGCATATAGATAGGGTTTAACGTCCAAATCAAATATTCTTGCTTTAATTAGACAAAACACAGTTTTAGATGTAGATACATTACCCAATTCCTCTAATATATTTGCTGCTTATTTGTTTTAGCTTGTAACAGCTAAACACAGTAAATCAGCATTATTAGTTATTTAAACTTAACCTGAAAAATTGGAAAATTTTCTCTTATATAAACATCAGTTCACATTCTTGTAAAATCAAATTCTGTGGTAGGATTAATCTTACCAGAAAGGTCTGAATCGGTTTATCCAAACATAGACACACCTACGTGGTTGAGTTATTCGGAATGAAAGAGGTGTATTATATATATATATATATATATATATATATATATTAACATCAGTTTTAAACATTTTAAGATAATAAATTTTATAAAAAAATAATATTTATTATAAGCTTAATATTAACGTTAAAAAAAAGGAGGAGCGTTACATACACGCCCCTTAAGCGTGTGTGGAATTGGTAGAAATTGGTCTTATCACAGGAAGGTGCTTTCGTTACGGGGCCACAGGAAGCAAAGCAAATCTGAGGGTACACTTCTGAGTTGCTTCAAGAACTTGTTTGTAGTCAAATCAAACACTTGGAGCAGAGTGGGTCACCCAAATTTCCGGATTTTCTATTCCTCTTCCCCTTGCTTTCAGATTTCGTTAGATTATGTGACTAATTAATATCTTTTTGTATTAGCTGTAAGGCAGGCACTCATCTGATTATATATATATATTCAAATATTATTAAATAAGATTCGATATGTTCCTTAAAAAGAAAAATAAATAAATCAACCTGAGGCATTTTATAAGGAAGTTAATTACAATATTTTAAGTAAATATAAACACTTCAAAAAATAAAAGACTTATTTTAAATTGTCCCGTGAAAACTGCACGGTTTTATAAGTGTTAGATCGACATGTATGTGTTAAAAAAACTTGCTTAAATTTGAAGCAGAGTTTTACTAAAAATAAGAATAGAGACAAATGGAAAACAGCGGGGCTTGATTCATTATGTACGTCGTGTCATTAGTTTACTCAAAGATTGTTAAAGGGGATCTTAGCACTAAGATTCCATCGACATTGCTAATGATTTAGACAATCTGAGTATTACACTCAACGTGACATAATAGTGCTTATCAAAATGAAATATAGATAGAGATTCCCAGAAGAAGTTTGATTCTATAAAAGGAATAGAGGCTCGAAAGATCCACTTTTTTAGTATTCATTTTTTGAAAATACTAATTTTTTTTAAAGAATAATTAAGAAATAAAATAAAAATAATTTATTAACAAAACCTTAAATATTTTTTATAACAAAATTATTTATTTAATTTTTTAATCAGCGTGTCTGAAACAACATCTTTAATGTAATAGGGGGGACCGCATCTTAATGTGCAATTAGATGACATAATGCTCTTTTCATGTCAGAATCAGACACGGATGCAGAAATAAATAAAAGACCGACAAAGGGAACAGACACGGAATTATCCTTCAAATTTTGCCGTATCTATCTCGCAAGGATAAATGAATAAAAAGTAATTAAGAAATAGTTGCTAGCGTTACACACAGAGACAGAAACTAACCAAAAATGTTTCCCTTCCCTATGTGCTATTCTTTTGTTGGTTTCGGTTATTATATTCATATGCTTAATATCATGCCACAAATTGAATATTGTTGTTTTATGGTTTGTGTTTAAGCCACGCACAAAAGTAAAGTCCCAACAATTCAAACATAGAAACATTGCCCCCTACACTAGACTCACAAGATCAAACTTGTAGTTGTTGTCAGCAATTGGTAGAATAAGGTGTAAGGGAATCCACGTGACGCCCCCAACATGCACACGAGGCATCTGGGCCGGTGCACCCTCATGGTTTCCCTCCACTATGCACCAATGACACACGAGTAGTAAGTAGAATCAAACAAGTTTACTCTTTCATTGTCAAACAAATACGAAATATATACCATGCAATTGAAGACTTGAAATGAAAGCCCATGCGTTGCAATGGTCCAACCCAACAAGAAGTTGGAAATAGGACCACACTAACCACTTCTAATTGAAAACGTCAAACTTCAAACGATCAAATCCAAACCCAACAGTTACATCTCTGTAGCTACAAGTCTTAATAATAATGATAATGTATATATGAATATGCTTGTTTGTCCTTTGGATTTGGCCATTTGGGTGGTCTAAAATTGCATGGAGCAGGTTCATGTATATGGTGACATGGTATGGCCTATAAGGGTAGGTTGAGGCCACCTCTAGTTAGGGTGCATATAGGGTATGGAGTGGTTCAAAGGGTGTCTCCTATCTCCATTGATTTCTGACTTGAGTACACTCATAGTCTTTAGGGTTTGTTTGTCTTAATTGGCAGCTTCATGGGTGAAGTTGGACATGCTTTCATGCTATTGTTTTCTTTGTGGGCGCGTGCTGTCCTTGCATTTGTATTTACTGTTTAGGGGTTACTGAACAAGCCAAACACAAGTAGCAGAAGCTTTCAGTGTGAATCGGCCACATCAGGCAAAACTAGAGCACTCATTTATAATCTGGTCCATTTTTTCTATTTTTTTAAAATTTCTTTTCGTATATTCTGCTGACACCACGGAATAATTAATTGATTGGGTTGGGTGTTGGGCGGCACTGATTGAAATTTCTGAGGCCCTCTCAAGACAGAGAGTACAAATCTGTACATTGTACAAATGTGCTGGAGATAGCTAGGGGCACTACCCCACTACTTCCACCATTTGCTCATCATAAAAATAAGCCCATATTTTATCAAATTTAAATCAATGCTTGATTTAGATTGCTTTAACAAAATAATTATTTTTAATAATTTTATTAATATTTTTACAAAAACCACCGATTATTTATACACAAAT